TGACTGGGGAATGGGTACGGGGCGGGGAATACCCGAATTTTTTAAATGGTTAATGGTGCGGTTATGGTTCTATACTAATCCACCCCGTTATCCGCCCCGAAACCGCCCCGTTCACTAGTGTTACGGGTACCCGCACCGTTACCCGATCGATAACATTATTATTAAATTATAACTTTATATGTATAAGAATAATAACTATATATGCTAAATTGTGTATAATAAATAGTATATATCATATAAATAATGCTAAAAAGTATACTATTTTTTTAGGCCTAAAACTAAATATAGGCCTAAACCTGTTTTTGAAATTTGGATTCTGGGATGATTACTACTTTTTTATTATGTTACAATAGATATTGGGTACATGTCATACTAATGAATTTAGGTCAGTCTGCTTGATTGCTTAAATGTTTATTTTTGTATGTTTTAGGGTGTTTTAAATATATAAATACTTCCTCCGTCCCCTATTAAATGTCCCGTTTTACCATATTGGGATGTCCCTATTTAATTGTCCCATACCTTATTTGGTAAACTTTGTGTGGCTCAAAATCATTCTTACTTTATTCTTACTTTATCAATTAATATCAACCACACAAACTCACTTTTCTTAAAACCCGTGCCACCATCTCCCGTCCCATTTAAAAGGGGACGGAGGGAGTAACAAATAGGATTAAAAATTGGTTATTTGTTTTTCCCAAAAAAAGTTGGTTATTTGGTATCATTTGGGGAAACGGTTACCCGTGGATAAACCGATTCCCTGTTGGGACGGGTACGGTTCAAATAAAAATTACCCGAATGGGTAATGGGACGGTTTTGGGGCAAACATTTATCCAACGGGGCGGTTCCGGTTTTATGTGTACCCGGCCCCGATCCGCCCCGTTGCCATCACTAGTGATATCTTATTTTTATGGCTGACCACTTGGCCAGTGGGATGACCGAGTATCAACTCTTACTGAACTATGTATGCATTACAGGTCCATATTTTATTTTTTAGTAGGTCAAAGCTGATTGATTATTTAATTATAAATTGTTGACACCTTACAAATAAGTTGAATCACATTATAATCAATTTGAAGTTACGTATTCAGTATTCAATTTTCATTTCTAGACAATGTGTTTAATTCGCTAATAACAACTTTGAGTATCACATAGTCTATATAAAAAAGAATGAGGAAATTGGTTCGTCTAAGAAATTATCACATAAAATTCCACCCGTTTTGACTCTTGGATTTCCAAAGTGAAAATAACAATTTAGGATCCGTTTTGATTCTTTATTTTTCTAAAGCTCAAATCAGTTACAGTGTAATTGAAGAATCTGTAATACAAAAATATCTTTTTAGTAGTTTATTGGAAAATCTATATTATCTAACATTGGAGGTCAAGTGACTAGAAATATATACAAGATTTATCTTAATTATCTAACAATTACAAGTTATCTATTCCACGGTGTGATAAGCTTATCTCAAATTTTTACTCATGCATATTATATTGTGAGTAATTTAAGGTTGGCGAACTTCATGCAAATTAAAAAATCGTTCTTTTTTGTAAACTAAGGTTTCATGTTAATTTTCCAATTAAACAATATGCCACGGTATATGTGGTATGTTATAGTTTCGGGGGTGCCAAGTAGGAATGACTTGAAGTTCTTGATATGCGACGATGATGGAAATAAGAAAATTGCAGAACATGTTGTCTACAAGGAAGTATTCAATTATTTGTGAATTGTGTGTTTATTAAACTTGCAAGTTTGTGTTACTATGTATTACGTAGTATTTATTTATTAATGGTTACTCTTATTTGCGTGATATAAAAATAATGTAGTCTATAATATCATTTATAAGTTAACATTTATAATATTTGGATTTTACATCCCGTGCAACGCACGGGTGAAATGCTAGTATGGATAATGTTTTAGAAGCTGCCTTGAAAAGCTTCTAAATTAAAAACTACATAAATAGTTTTTAATTTAGAAACTGCTCAAGGTAGAAATAGTTTTTTTTCTTTTACTCCTGGGGAGGTAGAATTAATTTTATCACATATTTAGCCTTTATCAAACAATTACAAAATGTATCTTTTCAATTAGATGTTTACAAAAAAAAAGTCATCTTCAAGATAATTTTAGCATTATCACTGAACGCGTTCAATGACTCTATTTTACAACTTATCAGTTTTATCAACCAATTTTTTTTAGGGAAAATGGAAACTAATAATCCAACCTTTTAGCGGTCTTCTTACAATAGTCCCACATTTTGATTATTCATGAATAATCCAACCTTTGCACCTCATCTTCATTCACTGGTCCCTGACCGGTTGATGACCTGCTATTCCAAGTTATTTTCTTATCTTTGCAAAATATTATCTTTGTGAAAGGTGAGATTTATGGTATAATGGTTTGAAAAGATAAGAAAATAACTTGGAATAGTAGGTCATCAACCGGTCAGGGACCAGTGAATGAAGATGAGGTGCAAAGGTTGGATTATTCATGAATAATCAAAAGGTGGGACTATTGTAAGAAGAACGCTAAAAGGTTGGATTATTAGTTTCCATTTTCCCTTTTTTTTTATCAAATGCATAACTTATTATTTTGTGCGTTGTTGTGTAATAAGCAAAATAAATAAAATTGGAGTTACTTTTTTTTCTACAATGGCTGAAATTACCGTAGAGTATCCTTTTATCTATTTTTTTCATATAATTTTTTCTTTATATTATTTATAAAATATATTTTAAATATGTAGCCTAATTTCTCCATAAATCAGTAAAATAAGTCAATCCAGCCACTTTCGCCATAAACTAATAAATTTCAGCTAAATCAGTCGATGCAACCCATTTCAGTGCTACCAAACGGGCTCTAGATTTTTCTTTTTTTGGAACAAGGCGGCTTAAATTGATATCAAAACATTCAGCAAGGGAACAAGAAGATAAAAAGACCACTTCCAAGTTCCAACTTCCAACCACCGACCCTCGAATCAGACTTAGAGTCAATCACTCAGAAAAAAGCAATATGACTCGTGGATCCTGTAATGGGTCTAAAAGAGTCTAACGTCGTTAGAGTAAACCCCTTATTGTCCCAACCTAATGCAAGAGTCTGGAAAAAATAAGCGTACATGACAAACAAAACAACATGTAATTCGAAGTAAAAACACAAACAAAGCAAAACAGAAATAGAAATAGTTGTCCAAACTAGGGGTGGGCAATTCGGTTTACGGTTCGGTTTTCGGTTCGGTTTCAGTTTATTCAGATTGGGAGAATTTGTACCAAACTAAAACCATTTGTGTTTCGGTTCGGTTCGGTTTGAAGTTCGGTTTACCAAAGTAAAAAATATTATGTTTAATTTAGTTTGATTTGATTCGTTTGCTTATGTTTATTATTTTATTTGATCCAATTCTATATTTTAGAATTAGAAAATGAAAGTAGTAGTCTATCTCATCTTTTTTTAAATTATTGATTATTTAAATAAAATGTAAAAGGAAATAAAAGATAGAAAAATAAATAATAAAATATATTAAATTAAAACTTCTAACAACTTTTTAATCACTACAAAAAATTCATTTCTTACAAAAAGTAAGATAGTTGATTAGCATTTATAATATCACATAAAACATTCAAAAAAACTAAAAGAATCGATGGTACAAATGTTGTAATATTCACAATTTTATTCAAATGAATCATATAAATATATAAATGCAATTTGCTATTGTTATCGCCAAACATAATAAATACAAATATGTCGTATTAGCTAACTTTGTCATAATGAATGTATGAAATGTGTAAAAGTTAAAATGATACGAGTATATGCTTAAATATGTATTTTCATGTCTAAATTATTTATTGATATCTTAAAAATGAAGAGTGAAGATAAATACAAAGTGTGTGTGTGTGTGTGTGTGTGTGTGTTGTTCGGTGTTCGGTTTGGTTTACGTTTTTTCCGTTTTAAACCAAACCAAACCAAAGTACCAAACCATTCGGTTTGACCAAATGTTTACCAAACGGTTTACTTAAGTAAACCCAAACCAAACCAAATCAAACCATCAATTTTAATAATATATGAAAGTTTTTTTGAGTTTCTTTAGTTCGGTTTTATTCGGTTTTTATCGGTTTCAGTTCGGTTTGGTTTAATACGGTTTGGAATAAATAGTATCAAACTCAAACCAAATTGCATACGGTCTGGTTTCGGATCGGTTTGGTACAGTTCGATTCAGTTAAACCAAACCGTTATGACCACCCCTAGTCCAAACTCTAGTCGCACAATTCCTCCATGGCGACGATTCAGGAGGGGGACGGATCAACATCTCTTCATCTTCTTTTGCTCGTAGACTCTTGTTTGGAGCCTCTTCCTCGCCCGCGACCTCCTCGTCTAGAATCAAATCGTCCTCATCACCCCCGAGAATCATGTTATCACATTTGTTGACCATCTCCTCCATCTCTGCTATAATCGTTCGTTCAATAGCCCGCTTACGCTCGAAGCAATGCCTCTGCCTTGCTGCGAGCCTGCGAATTTGTTGCCCTGGTCTACTAGCCCTCCACAGAAAGGACGATGTTGTTTCGCCGCTGAAAACTTTCTGAGCTACTGCAACCACACCGCCACACCAAGGAACAACAAATATCAACACCTTCGGATCCAATGAACAAACTATTCACCACAGGAAAAAACAACTAGGATTTACCTAGACACGACCGCCAGAAAATCAGGTTCCTAACTCCTTCAAAACCTGCACTGCGCTGTTACGCCATCATTCCTTAATAGTCCATCGACCTGCTCTGTTGCAACTTGCAAGACTACAGCAAGAGTGCGGTGGACAGAACTGGTCACCCAAAGCAGCTTCGCTTAGTCTTCAACGTCGCTGCCAGCTTGCGGCCATCGAAGGTGTTGTGTAGTGTTTCTCTCTTTGGTGGCTTGGTGTAATTTGGTACGGAGTATCAATAATTTTTTCTTTAACTTTTCTGCACAACTAATCATATTTCATAGCATTCACTTGGTGTGAAAGTGGTTTTCCTCATCACTTTTATATAGAAATAATCAAAATGCACATCGAAAAGTAAAGGGTGAGATATACAAACACAAGTTACACAATACCAAAGCCAATTCCATTACACGATGGGTTTTCCCCCAAAGAGAATACACAACACACAATAGAATACAAATACAACAAGTAGCACTTCCAACTTTGCTACATTATTATTACATATTAAAACGAGAGAATGCAGCTAAACAAGAGATGCTTGCAAAACTAGGGATTGGGAAAATAGATAAATAAAACAACCACAAAGGTTGTTGAGGCAGACCACAAAGAGTAGAACTCCCATCGCTGCCCCAGCCAATGCCCCCGGAAAGCAAAAGCATCGGATTTAAGAACTGCCAAAGCAAGCAAGCAACCAAACCGACCACGAAAAGCAACACAGATAGGTTCAACCCCATGGTAACACACAATAAAAACTAGGAAGCCAAACACACCAGGAGATTATATATAAATCTTTCAACCAAAGCCAGACTACAAGCATTAAGCTAAAACCTTTTTTTTTCTTTTCTTTTCATGAACAGAAGTTAAAACCTGAAGAGGAACACCAAGAGCCTATTAGATCCAGAATTCCCAGCATCTGTATTAATCACAGAAAAGTATGGCCATGAAGAACGAATCCCTCCCATCACCGGAGAGAGAAAAAAAGTTCTTGAAACAGCTTCCAGAAGCTTCCGGAAGTTGAAAAAAAGGCCACATTTCCTGGAAAAAGGAGCTGAAACTCCGGACCCACAACCCAAGGCAGACCCAAAAAGTATACTACCAAGAACATAACCAAACAACAATCACTATCCTCAATCAGGTAAGGATATCACACCTGCAGAGCCTTTCAACTAGCATATCAACACCATGCTGGCTGATTCCATGGCAACTCTGAATGTTCAATCCTGTGAGACTGGACCCCACCTTACACAGGTAAGGCAAGCACTTGTCTGACACCGAAGTACACCCAGAGAGGGAAAGGATCTGAATAGTGGTCTGAACCGGACCGACCGCCAAAGCCGCAATCCCGGAATCACTAACCCTAGATTTAGACACATCAAATTCACGCAGCACGGAGCAATGTTCTGCAATTGCATATAAACTCTCATCAGTAACTCTTCCACACCCATCAAGATTTAGCAGCTCAAGTGTCTCTCCGTGTATTTTAACCATGGTTGAAATGGTCTTGTCGGTCACATTAACACACCCGCTTAGGTTCACCTTGACCAAACCCGCATCACATCCTTGAACAAAGGGGAGAAGCCCATTATCCGTAACACCATGGAGCCCACTGATGTTCACATTCACCAAATTAGGGCATATTCTGCCCAAAATCACAAGGATGTCATCGTTAAATCCAGTGCAGTTAGAAATTGACAATGATCTGAGAGACTTGCAAGGGGAGGACAACATAGCAGCAGGATTCATGCCAAATGCCAAATCTTTGATTCCAAAACAGTTCTCTAAAGAGAGAGCTTTCAGTTTCCCGCAAGAGAGTATAAGGATGCCAAAAACACCTGCCTGGGTGATCCTGTGGCACTCGTCCAACTGTAGGCTCTCAAGAGATGAGGCAAATTTCACAAGAGACACCGCTCCATTGTCGGACAGAAAAGGGCATTTTCGGAAACAAATTTGTTTCAAGTTTGGGCAACCTTTTCCCAAAGCTTCCACTCCCAAATCCGTTACTCCCAAGCAAGATGCCACCACTAGTGACCTCAAATTCTGTAGACCCTGACCATTACCCATGACCCAGAATCCTTTCTCATTTATGTTTTGAAGACTGGCCAGATTCAGATCGGTCAAAGCAACGCCATAATGTCCAATAACTGCTAGGGAGATGTCACTTAGGCTTAAAGACTGGAGTTTGACGTTGGTGAGATGCATACCAGCTGATGTGAAAAGACTTGCAAGTCCCTGATCTCCGATAAGTGGACATCTCTTCACTGTTATGGACTTCAAATTCAGGCAGTATTTACCAACAGACTGCAAACTTTCATTTCCAATGTTCAAACAAGATTCTATGGTCACAGAAGTCAAATTGGGGTTGTTTTTGGCAATTGCAGTCAAAGACTTATCTGTGATTCTCGGGCATTGGGTAAGATCCAGCTTCTCTATCAGATGGCACCCACTTGCAATCTCTAGTAACCCTTCGTCACTTATGTTTGATAAGTTCCAGAGAGAAAGAGATTTGAGGGAAGGACAACCTCGACCGATAGCCTTGAGGCCCAAATCCGTCACGCTGGAAGATTTGCTTCCACGGATGGATAACTTACCCAATCCTCCACGGCTGGTGATCCCCAGAGCAATAGATGCAAGTCTAAGATCTGTAGCTTTCTTCCCATCAAGGCACCTCGAGAGAAACCCACAATCCTCATTTCCACCTTCAACCTCCACCTCACCTTCCAGAACATTACTAGGGAGGACAACCTCATCCTTCTTATTATCAGACTTGACAGAAAGGTCTGGTTGAGCAATGGACGGATTTGCCCTTTCATTCGTTTCTGAGGGTTTGCTGTTGTTTTCATCAGCAGTGGTTATTTCATCTCTGCTGACAGTACTTAGAAGCATGAGCCAGCGTTTGGATACGCCAGCACAGGCACTTCTTTCCTGCCCACCAGGCAGGCGTCTGAGAATCTCAAAGAGACATTCATCCGGAAGGACGTCAATGGAAGCTTCCGACTTTTTCTGTTGGAATTCTTGTCCACGAAATACAAAAGGTGCGCTGATGCGAGACCTCTTGCGAGAGGGAAAAAACACATCTGCTTGGTGGCCGAGAGACAAGAAGAGGAGAGAGTCCTTTTGATTAGGGTAGACTGGCCCTCCAAGGCAAAAATCATCAACACCTGCAATGTTAATATAAAATTCATAAGCAAACAAATAACAACAACCCACAGCAACAAAATAAGCAGAAAAAATGCTGTACAAGTAGGCACAGAAATCTCATACTTCTAGCCCATGGGGCCTGTCACTACTACAAGAAGAAGCTTTCATGTCACGCATATTACGACCGTTCCATAAGAGCAACCACAACGCTACCGTCCTAGTGAAGGTAATTTGTGCCATGTCATCCATATTAGACATTGTATATCAAATTTCGGTTCCAATGCACGTAGTCTCCTGATGAGTTGGCAAAATAAAATTAAACGGTGTGAAGGGAAGTAGTGTGGGTGTAGAAAGCGTGTTTCACTTGCTGACATGGAAATAACCGTAAAAGTCCCTTCCTCCTCAGTCCTCACCCTTCACTGTAACTCTTCGATCTACGATTATGACGCCACAACAATGGCCGAGAACCAGAGCTCCGCTTCTTCGCAGGCAGACCAGCTTCCTCCGGCTGGCTTTTAGACTTCTCTGCCGGCGACTACGAAGGAATGGGAGAGATAAGCTCCAATTGTTTGTGGCTCTTCTTTGCCACTCTTTCCCATACTTTTGAGTGGATCTGCTTTTTCCCTCACTGCCACGGTATGGGTCTAGAAAAATTATCATTGAAAATAATACGGAGTACTATGCATTTTAATTTACATATCAATCGGTGGAGGAAAACATATTAATAAACCGGGTAATAAATTCCACATAGACTCCTAATTTGTGTTTTGAGACTTTATGCATTGGAGGTTTGTTTCTTATTCCTACGTCTACTCACTCCACTATATCAAGAAAGCCTTTTATTTATTTGACATTTGGCACAATTTATTGAGACTTGAGACTAGTGCATTGAGGATGCTCTAAGAACTGACGTTGTAGGGGCGTATATAATATTCCACGTCAGTTTAATTTTGAAACCGTCGTTATACGTTCTACGTTCATCCACTTATTTCCCTTTTCTCGTCTGTTTTAATGTGAACGGACGTCATTGGTAATTAAAAACTCGCTTAAGATTAAATAGAAAATCTTTATAACCCGTTTAACCCTAGAGCAAATCAGAAAGTATCATATGCACACAACCTTCTAGCCGCCTGCAGCAAGCGCCTCCGAGATAGAAGAGAAGTAAAATGGGAGATGGAGATGGAGATGGAGATGGAGATGGAGATGGAGATGGGGACACGCAGACTCTCAGGCACGAGAAAATTAAGTAGGCGTCTGTAATTCCAAACAACTTTAGTCGGAAGACCGGTAACTACTTCGGGAATTTGCATCAGTGGTGTGAAAATCCAACAACAAACTGCAACCCATAAATACGAAATTAGAGACTCATTTCACCGTTGTTGGGTCAGGCTCTGGGCGCGCGTCTCAGTTGAATTTGGAGTCTCAGTTCCTTCAGGTTTCTTGACCTTTCTTGTTAAGATTTCTACTTTTCACTCATCCCGAATGATGACTCGGATCAGATTTCCCCGATGATTTCAGATGCTAAATAAGCATAGGAGTTGCAGTTTCAAGAAGCATCCCCGCCCAGATTTCTTCATTGCTGGTATGTATTATCATTTATTGTGAGTTTTAGATTGCCTCGTGTGTATAACTGTCAAAAATAGGGTTTGTGTTGAATTTCGTTAATAATATTGTTGTTTTATGGATTATTTTGATTCTAATTTTCAATTGCCCTATAATAATATTCATGATGATTTTTTCAATGTAATTTTTCTGCTCCTGCTAAATTTCCTAAGATATTTTTGCTTTATATTTGGTTCTTTGAGCATCGTATTGAATACGCATATGTCCAGTGAGGCTCTCCTCCTTAATTGAAAAAAGTTATTCTTAGACCAAGTCTTGATAATGTCTGTAATATTGAATGATATTTAAATTTACTTAGAAAAGAACAAGGATGTTTATTCATGAGATACTTCAAAAATTGCTCTGGCCACATTTCTTGAAACTTGTTTCCATCGTTAACCTGTTTACAAGGGTTCTAGATAGCCTAATCCCTTTAAAAAAACTTTTCCATCGTTAGCCTCTTTTCAGTGGTTCTGGATAGGTAAGTATTGGGTTTTCACATTCTTTTTTGTGTTACTTTTTGTATGTATATGAGTGTAGATAAAGTGTTCAATAAAATATTTGAAAGGTCGTATGATTACTATTTCCACTTTGTTAGGGGCATATATGTCTTGGTTAGAAAAGAACTCAAAGATTTAGGAAACCCGCTGAGAAAGAGAACAGAGGATCGGACAGATGAATATGAATTTACGTTTAGGTACTTCTATTAGCCCATTGCTTTATTTTGTTGTAATTTTAATATTTCTTTTTGGAAGTCTCGGAGAGCTTTGAAATTTTGACAATTCAAAAACTGTTGTAATAAAATATGTGGTACTGCTGTGAGATTGGATTTTGTATCTATTTGGGGTGATGTATAGCCAAGGACTGATTTAGCAATAAAAATATCTCTATGATTTCTGAATTTCAATATGCAATTCATCACTAAGCATAAGTTTTTTTTTCCTGATCTAAATTCTAAATTAATTATTTTCCCTCAAAAGCTGTGGCTTGTCAGGTGTGAGGCATCTATTTTGACTAAAAGGGGGAGCTTTGGAGAGACACATGGGTACTAGCATAGGGTGAGGTTAGTTTATCCTGTGATATTTTTCTTTCATTTCTTTATTAATCGATGAAAAACTCAGATTATTTCATAATTCTAAGTCATATTTATTTTTTAATCTTGGTTGTGTTAGATATTGTTTTACAGATCATTCATTTGATGGAATGTTGATAGTTCACAGTCTATATATCCAGCCACAAAGAAGTAATTCCCCTTTGAACTTTTGGTTATTATATGATATTTAATCCTATACACCAAGATATCGTTTTATACCATTTTATGTATAACTCAAGACTCTATAAAGATATTAGCTTCTATTGATTGATGTTCCAGTAAGCTTGAATATGATTCATTCAATTTCTGTTTGATTGATATAAGGGTTTTCGCACAATGATCATTTTTCTCTTTTTCTATGAGTTCAATCTTGCTCTCAAAAGGGAAATGTCTGGGTCTGTCTACTGATTGTTAGGAAATCTGTCTGCATATTGTTTCACTGAAGCAATTGAGATGGATAATGAAGAGGCTCTATAATATTGTTAATGATAAAGTATTAAATTGTTTCCAGTTTTTTTTTTTAATGGAATGTTGTACTCCATTTGATAATTCATCTTATTCTATGATTGTTAAATGACTTAAATCAGTAGCTGGTGTGCTCTACTTTGTTTACAGTGTACTGCATCTATCTTTGATAGTTTGATCTATCCTCAAAGAACTGCTCAGCTTGTGGCTACTTTTTTTTTATTGATTTAGTTGATTTCAATGGAAGTGTTTTGAGAATTTCATTTCAGTCTTCGAGATATAAGAAGAGGTCATGGTGATATTATTCAAAGATAGTGTATGATCGTGTTTGATTTTCTGTTTTTTCTAACACTTATATTTTCTTGTTTTGCAGGTCTTTAACAAGAGCATGCATTTTTTTGCACATCAATAAGAAGAGCTTTCAGCAAGTCTCTAAGGCTATGTTTGGTACAATTAGCTGAAAAGATCTTTTTGTGAGCTTTTTAGTAACTTAGCTTTTAATGACTGAAAAGATCTTAAAAGTAAAAGGTGGTAGCTGTTTGGTAAAAAGCTGACTGTTTGATTTAGTTCTGTTTGGCATACAAGCTGTTAGGATTTATTAAAGCTAAAAGTCACAGACTTTTCTTAGATGTTACTACCTGTAGCATCTCAAAAAAGAGCTTTTATTTTTTGAAAAGCTCTTAAAAATTGGCATGCCAAACAAACAACTAACAACTTTTAAAGACTTTTTAAATAGTACAAAAGCCAAAAGCTATAGACTTATGTCAGCCAAACATAGCCTAAGAAGAGAACCATTGAATTGTATGCAGTATGAATTGTCCTTTGCGTAGGGATATTGATGAGATTGATTTGCTAGTCTTTAGTTTCTCTCTAAGTTTTTTGTATATAGTTCCGAAATGTGTATTTTGATACTCTAAATTTATACACTGGTGGTAGTTATAGGAATTAACCAACTGATAGGAGCATGTAGCTGGTAGTTGTATAACACCAACGCTAGTAGTTTCTATGTATTTTTTTTTTTAATAAAAAAATGGCTTACAAGTAGTTACAACGTCGGTTTTATTTGACAACAGACGTAACATGTATTTTTTTTATTTTCTGAATATATATTGAACGTCAGTTTTTTGAGACAACCGACGTAATACGTATTTTTTTATTTTTTAAAAATCATATTCGACGTCGGGTTTTTAACGTAACTGACGTGGGAGGTTACATTGAATTTTTAAAGTCTACTTTTTACGTCGGTTTTCTAACCGACGTTAAATGTTCCTACTTTTTACGTCTCTCACTTACACGTCTCTTTGAAACCGACGTGAAAAGTGTAAAATAACCGACGTGAAAAGTCACTTCTGTAGTAGTGTGTTGAGCAATTTTTATCTGGCTGAGATGGATAATCATCATGAACGGTTGAGCTTTTTTAACATTCATTTCAACCAACATTTGAGTGAAAAACTATTCACTCTAACAATAAGCAGAAATAGTCAATTACAGGTGCCAATCAGGTCCTAAGCTTTGCGGTAGATCTAAAAATAGTAGTATTAATCAATAAAAATAGATCTTTTGCTTGTCATGGGGACAAGCAGGTTCTGCTAAACGCAACTCGATCTCTCAGCCCTGATTGGACCGTTCTAATCAGATCTTGCCATCAGAGGAAAATGAATGCTCTAATTATCTCTCACAGATCCACTAGACACTTTCACAGATACTAACTAGCAGCCTAGCAATTAGATGGAATCCGGGTAATGATAGCCACATATTTATACATCATATTATGAACAAATCTTAATCTAAATTCTACTTAGATGGCACGAAAACAAATATATAATCCAAGACTCAATGAAGCTTCACTAAATGCTACATTAACAATTCTTTAAAAGGGCAAAACTCTTCTATAAAAGAACCAGAAACAGAATCAGAAGTACCAAACTAAATTACAAATTTAGATTCGCCATAAAGTTATGCTTTCACAAACAGATAAATAAAGATCATAGTTAAATTAAATCTTTAAGCAAATCCCGTCCAGGAATGAAACGCTTACCACTGAATTCAAAGAGCTTAGACATGTATGTAACTGGGAAATCCTATAAAGATCGAATCTTGATGGCAAGAGACCAAAAACCCCTCCAAAGAGAGCAAAAAGTGACAGACTGATGAATAACAACAGTGTGATTATGAATTGTAGAGGCTGAAGAACTGAATGCATCAGAAAGCTGAGAGGCAATAGGTCATGGAGAAACCCTATCAAGAAGGGCAAAAAATGAATCAGAAAATAATGGAAAGCAAAGAATTGGGTCAGAGGCTAATGGGGGGTGGGGTGTTTATACAATGTATCTATGGATTTTCAGGGTGGGTGGCCACTTTGGCTTTTTCTTTGCTGTATTTATCATTCTTTGTTTGCATTTACAGGCAGGTGCGATGTTGGGTTATTTCCAACTTTTTTTTACATATTATTAAATCATTATTTTCTAGAGGGAGGAATGATGAGAGGTAGAAGAGAAAGCAGAGTTCTGTACATGCAATGAACCCAGACCTAAAAGCCGGAAAATGTCATATTCAATGTTTCTATTCTGTTTTGTTCACTCAAATTCAAAACAAAAAGTTGACAAATCCATATCCCCAGATTTGCCCTACCAGAAATATTCATTTATTATATTGTCCATCAAATAATGCACAATAGATTTATGTATGTGTGGATGAACAACGGCCATTCGATCCCTATATTCCGTAATTATTATCATGCCACTTTCTATTTGGAAATAATGGAGGTTATTAAATCTGAATTTTTTACTAAAATAATGCTGAAAATAAAATATATACAAAATTGATGTTGAGTTAAAACATTTTACCAAAATGCTGCTGATCAAACTGCGGTTAACTAAATTGGCAATCCAATTGGGTAACGGAAGAAGCAGGTTCCTCGTGACAAAGGAGGAGATGAGTATTAGTGGGACCAAGCAAAACAAATAAACCTTATTTAAAAAAAAAAGTGCTATAACTTTTATATTTAAACTCCGATTGTTACAAAAATTATATCAAAATTCATAATTTTTTATTATCTTTTATATGACACCAATATTGAATATATAAAAAATTAAAAACAATTTAGCACTTTAAGAAATTCCGTTTTTTAAAGTGTTACTCCATATAATTGTTTTACTGTACTTTCATATACTTTCATAATAAATGTAATAAAAAATTATGAATCTTGATAAATTTTTGGGAAAACCGTCAAATACGTCCTCGAACTTTCATAAAAAGGTAAATAAGTCCTTATATAGGAGTCTCTGTCCGGCCATCGCGATTTGGGGCGGTCCCGGTGGAATTTTTTGATGAAAATTTTTGAGCATCTTATTCATCAAGTCTAGTCCACTCATACCAAATTTCAACTAAGACTTTAATCGGGAACGCATTCAAATTAATTCTTGAATATAACTGCGCATTTAACTGCAAAGTTCGAGGACCTATTTGATAGTTTTCCATATATTTTTTAGAGCATTGGAGTACAAAAAATTATAAGACTCTAAAAAATAGATTTTTAAAGTATTAAATCATTGTTTTATTTTTACCTATAAAATATGAAAAATACTTGGTGTACACCATTTTGTGTACACCATTCCCACAAATTATTTGTCTACGCACTCATAATTGTCTGTTACTGACAACTCTATAGTTCCGAATAGAATTGTGTATATACATATAGCTTTGTCTGCGTAGACAGACAATGTGTGTGAATAGTGTACAGGAAGCATTCCTCATAAAATATTGGATTTGCTTCTTAAAATTGTGTTTGCTCCTTCATGCAACAAAAGCAGATATTGGAGTGCTTCAGTGAAAGTGAAGAGGTACTTTTGGTGCTCTAAATTACTCATTGAAGTACTACATAGTTTTTAAGAAGTTGAGGGAGATCAGCTTTTGACAAACTTTTTCAGATTCAGCTTATGCTTTTAAAAAAGAACAGAAGCATAATTACTTCCAAACACTCCCATAGTGTCATATTAAAATTTATGATTTTTGATATTGTATGTTTTATTTAAATAATTGGAGTCCAATAAAAAATAATAACACTTTAAAAAACACAATTTGTTTAAAGTGGTAAATTATTTTCAAATTTTTATATATTCAATATTGGTGTCATATGAAAGATAATAAAAAGTTATGAATTTTGATATATTTTTTGTAACAATCCGAATATAAATATAAAAGTTATAACACATTTTTTTAAATGGGATTTTATTTATTTTGCTCGGTCCCACTAATACCTCAAGTCCTCATTGGATTGGATTGGTAACCAGAGTTTGTTGAGCAGCATTTTCGTAAAAAGTTTTAACTCAACATCAATTTGGTATATATTTTATTATTCAGCATTATTTTAGTAAAAAACTCCATTAAATCTAGTCACAATAATTATAGCGTTTTGTCACGGTCATAGAGTCTGGTGCAGCGCACAGCGCCCGAAAATGACTAGTGCAAATGACGAGCTTACCGAAATCCAAGCAGCGGATAAGACCAACGCCGTGGACCGGAGAGCCACGCAAGGAAACCGAAACCCACATCGAGTAGCGCAACTACTCATGTCACGCCATTGCAACCAACCGAAACCGACTAGCGCACACGGCGACCATACCGAAACCCATGCAGCAGAAAGACCAACGTCGTGGACCGGAGAACCACGACCGAAAACCGAAACCCACATCGAGCAGCGCAACTAGTCATGCCACGCCATTGAAACCGACCAAAACCGACTAGTGCAAACAGCGACCTACCGAAACCCAAGCAACGGAAAGACCAACGCCGTGGACCGGAGAGCCACGCAAGGAAACCGAAACCCACATTGAGTAGCGCAACTACTCATGCCAGTGTCACGGACATAGAGTATGGCGCTAGCCAGTGTCACGGAGCGTTGGTCGTGACCGTGTTGGCTCAATGATTAGGACAAACCGACTGGCTAGCTAGACGGGCGAGGCATGGGGGAGGCAATAGCGTCAAGGGGAGTTCTGCCTTAGACGCTAAGGTCTGGCCGAGTAGGGCATGTAGGGCTTGACTATGAAGGAGACGGAGGCAGATTCGAAGGCACAACTGGTCGGGAGCTATTGTCGTTCCCCTCATGAGCCCAAGGCAGGACGAAACCAGTCCGGTTCTGTATAAGAGCAAGGCTTGTCTGCGGGGATGTGAGGGACCCCGGGACGCCGCACGGGCGCTGTGCGCTGCGCCAGACTTTATGCCCGTGACAAATGGTATCAGAGCGGGCCGGGCTTATATTGTCGCGTGTTGTGGTGGGATCCTCGTGAGGGATGAGGACTATGCGAGCATGGTGGCTTTAGGGCTGGTACGTACTGATGACGGCTCCACTCCTGATGGTCCGCAGGGGCGGATGGGTTCCTGAGAGGATGGGGACTCGGGTGGCCACCAGCACAGCCGAGCTGCTTGAGAGAGAGGCGGTCCTGGCAATGCGGCGCGTTGACAATATTAAGCACGATGATCTTTGGGCAGAGTCATCTCCCATAACACGAGGGCGTGCTAGAGTTTGGGTGGGGGAGAGTGTCACGGACCGTTGGTCGTGATCGTGTTGGCTCAATGATTGGGACGGACCGACTGGCTAGCTAGACGAGCGAGGCATGGGGGAGGCAATAGCGTCAAGGGGAGTTCTGCCTTAGACGCTAAGGTCTGGCCGAATTGGGCATGTAGGGCTTGACTATAAGGGAGACGGAGGCGGATCCGAAGGCACAACTGGTCGGGAGCTATTGCCGTCCCCCTGATGAGCCCAAGGCAGGGCGAAACCAATCCGGTTCCGTATGAGAGCAAGGCTTGTCTGCGGGGGTGTGAGGGACCCCGGGACGCCGCACGGGCGCTGTGCACTGCGCCAGACTCTATGCCCGTGACAGTTTGCTCTACTTAAACAATACGTAGTAGTGGTTAAACAATAATTAAAATCAAATATTGCTAAGTTATTATTCAATTCGAGGTTCCACATGTAGATGCACGTATTGAAAGATGAATCATGTGAGTATCACAAATTCACAAAATTCTATGTTAGTTATTATGCACATCAACAATGCCAAAACATCTCAACATTATGTATAATAATATTAATTATATTGCTAGTGAAAAATATGGGTAATTACTAGAGTTTGTATATCGTACAGCCAGTTGTACGTCGTGCATTGTATGCCAGTTGTACGTCGTGCATTGTATTGTCAGTGACATTTTCAAATTTATGTGAAAATTGTATATATCTTCTGCTAATTAAGTATCAATTCATTTTTATTGATCACCATACATATTCTGTTTATGATTAGGAGTCTAAGATTGAAATCTCTCCTCCATATTAAGTTATTCTATAATCAACTCCTATGAATTTCAATGTCAATCTAATGTAATATAGTATTTTTGAGATATGCATTGATATGACATTTTAAAATGAGCTTATCATCAGTAAAAGAAAAGAGCATACGTAACTTTCAAAAAGTGCATTGATATGAAAATCGTGAGCTTTATAAGTTGAGCATTAAAACATTTTCATTGAGCATCAAACATCCTTTATTGAGTATCAGAAGCATATAATTGAGTATCAAATGGCTCATTTGAAATATGCAGTATGCTCAAATATACATTTGTGTATGCTAATTATTTTTAAACGTTATACTCATTGAGTTTGACTTACGTAACAATTACGGTGGTTCCTTTTCATCGATTTAAGTTGGGATTCTGAAATCAAAATATCCTATGACATTTTGGTTAACATACCGCCATCAGATGAGGTTGGATTCTTGATTGTTGTTTGCTCATGTCCAAACTTATTATTGTGTTGCAACACTGAGGGTTACCGTAAAAGATGACCGAATACTTCGCTTTGGATGTTTAGTTAGATTCTACCGTTGTGGGACTTGGGTTGTCATACGCTCCTGCTACCAGAACTACACAGGTGAACTCGGCCTGACAATGAACCTTGAGACATCGCTTGATCGCTGATAAACTTCCAGGCCTAGTAGTGCAGCGAAATAGAACTAGGGTTGGGCTGCATTATACTGAGCTGATGAATATGACGGGTTAAGAAATAACAGGCTGTACGTACCATGCTCAAGGTACAACCGGTTGTAGCATATAATTTGCGGTGATTACTAATGCCACATCATTATTTCATCATAGACAATACCATACTCCGTATATAATTATTACATATCCCTAATAGTTAATTTATTATCCACTATTTATGTTGATTTTGCATTGTGTCATCAATTATAATACACTTAATATCCATAGGGTAGTTTCTAATATAAAATTAATTACATTTTAAAACACTTGATGAGCATAGGATGCTTTCATCGAAAATCAATTTCATGTGAT